CTGGGAGTTTTTCAAAAGGCCTGAAATACAATCTCATTGTCAGTTTATCCATTGAAAAGGTATGTTGGCTGTCAACTGAGCCTCACTGGGCATGCCTGTCCCCACAGGAAAGGGCTTTTGTAGCTATTTGAGCTCCAGAGGGAAGAGACAAGGTTAGGGTGGGGGGAACACACACGAGGGGTGTGCTCAGGAGCAAGGTGACACCTATGTCTCTCTTCCCAGCTGGAAAATAGGCTTGGAGGAGAAGAGCGGTTCCAAGAGCGGGTGACACAGCACCTAGTGCCCTGCATCGCACAGTTTTCTGTGGCCATGGCAGACGACTCCATGTGGAAGCCCCTCAACTACCAGATTCTGCTGAAGACAAGAGACTCGTCCCCTAAGGTGAGGTCTGGGGGTCACAGTCTCTAAAGCTGAACTTGCATCCCCCCCATGGGTGTGGCCTAAATATCCACCTATAGTCATGGATGCCAGCCCCAGGACACTGATAGGGAGAGCCTGGCCCTAGGTCTCATCACTAGAAGTCTGGTCTACTGTATGATATAGAATGCTGGCCTTTATGAAGAATTCTTGGGCCGGGAGATGTCTCAGTTGGAGTGCTCATTGTTACTGTGCAAGCACAGGACTGAAGTTTGGTCTCCAGAACACGTCAGAAGCCAGCATGATGATGTGTGTCCGGGAGTGCCATGCAAGAATGAGAGTCGTGCTGAAAAACAAGGTGGTGGCACCTGAGGAACAGCACTTAAAATTGGCCTCTGGCCTTCAGATGCATGTGCACACAAGTATACGTGGCATCCACCACACACATAAATGATAGAGAATTCCTTATTTCTTTTGCAGGCTCTTTATAAATAGCTATATTTCTCAACCTCCTAGTCATGGCAAGCATAAGCATTAAAATATTTCTAAATTCCTCTTCTAAAACAGTAACCACTTGAAGTCGGTCCTTGTTTTTAACGTCACTGTGCCCTGAGATCAGTGATTGTGTTGTGTGCACAGAACACTCCTTTAGAGTAGAAATGGACTCGGTACGTTGACATTCCTTACCTGGAATTTTCTAGCAGTTTTATTAATAAATCACTTTCTCATGAGAATCTCACTTGGGTAAACAGCCCAAAGCAGACTTTTAGTCAAATTTATTTTAAATTGATTACGTTTTTTAGGAGTTGGAAACAGTAAAGCTATCATAGGTTCTTACATAGTTGCAGAAACAAATTTATTTTAGTATTTTATTTTGATTACATGTTAGGAAAATCTTGTTTAAATATAATGAATTATGAAAATTAATCCAAATTGAAAGGGGACCATTTTGTTTCTGCGAGCTGCTGTCGATGCTTCATAGCTACTTGGATTGCTCATGATCGGCAGGTTATGTGGGAACACCCAGACTTTTACTCAGTGCTGGAATGAGACTAACCAAGTAGGTGTCGTGGCCATCCAGATGCTGTCAGAGGTGCCAAGGCACTCCATCGCCAGGTGGTACCATCTCATGCAACCCAACAAACTACCTCCTGGCTAGTTATATTGTATGACTTGCTTTTTTCTTTCTTTTCTTTTTTTATGTTTTGTTTTACTTTTATATATTAGAGTGGGCATGTCGTGCACTTATGGAGGTCAGAGGCCAACTTGCAAAAGTCAGTTCTCTCTTTATGTGGACCTAAGGATTGAACTCAGGCACCAGGCTTGGTGGCAAGCATCTTTACCCCCCGAGCCATCTTTGTATTGGCTTTTTTTTTTTTTTGGTAAAGGAAATAGAGTATTTTTTTCCCCACATTTTAATGCTAGAACACAGTTTGAAAGACCCTGATAAGTAGATTACCTTTGTTCTAAATAGCTCTCAAATGGCTACTAAAGTGTTACCTTATGGACACTATGTAAAGAGCACCGTCTCCAGTCAGGGCAGGTCTTAAGGTATTGAACAGCAGCAAGGAACAGATGAAACGGTCTCATTCTTGATGCCTGTTCCTTCCAGGTGCGGTTTGCAGCCTTGATTACTGTCTTAGCAGTGGCTGAAAAGCTGAGAGAGAATTATATTGTTCTGCTTCCGGAGTCGATTCCTTTTCTAGCAGAATTGATGGAAGGTAAGCCTAACGCTAATAAACAAAGATGCAAAACTCTGTGGCCACTGGCTGACACAGATTTGTCTGAGTCCTTTACCCGTCCCTGGGGCACAAGTCAGGAAGCTGTGACCTCGCAGTCACTGGAGAGCAGCCTGCAGTGTGTATTGTATTGTTCATGCAATAACTTCAAATGTTCATATGATTCATTGTGCCATTACGGACATAATCAGTTGTCCCCTGGAATGATGAGCTGTACTTGTTGGTACTCAGTGTTGAGTGGTGACATAATCTTGCAGTGGGTTCACACTGTCCCTCAAATCTCAGAAAGTTTAAAGATGTTGACGATAGCACTAAGTGGCAGGTGGAGCTGCTTTAAGTGAGAATATACCTCTGCACTGACATGCCTCTACATCGGACCTCCCAATGCCCTTCATATTGATTGGGGATGGTGAGGGAAGAGGTAACTTCGTATCTCACTGGCTTAGCATCTGGGTAGAAGCACACCCTTTTATGTCTGACGTCTAACATGGGCCGAGAGCTCCTATATAGGGGTCCCTCTGGAGCTTGCATTTGAATGTGGCTTGGTCCTCTTCAGCAGCCAAGAACAAGAACATGGCTATGAGTGGGGGGGGGGGGTCAGTGAGGGAGCAGCTCGGGTCACAGCCTGCTGGGTGCTTTCTGTGCACTGAGGGACAGTGGCAGTTGGGCAGGATGGCTGGCAGGCCCACTCTAACGCTGGTGTTGTTTGTTAGACGAATGTGAAGAAGTGGAGCGTCAGTGCCAGAAGACAGTCCAGCAGCTGGAGACCGTGCTGGGGGAGCCGCTGCAGAGCTACTTCTGAAGTGGGACGCGCACCGCTGCCTCGTGCTCGCCGATTTAGTCTCATGGTTTTGGGGGGATGTGGTGCCATATTATTTTTGGTACTTTTACATCTCCCAATATCTAATGTTTTTACAAAATCCCTGCCTGTCTGGGCTCCCACAGAAGCCTCTCCTGCCTTTTGTACAGATTTGCTAAGGAGAAAATGGAATGGTGTTTTATACAAACTGTCTGCTATTCGTCTTCTTCCTAGTTGGTGTTTTGGATGAGGCCAGCATGCTGTTTCAGTGCCTGAGGCCTAGCGCTTCCCTGAAACACAGGATCTTGCTGTGCCTTGCAGCACCTTGTGTGTGGTATACATTTTGTAGGTCCTAACACTCACAGTAGTGGCCTGGGTCAAGAAATGGCATCAGGCAGCAACATTCAACAAGGAAAGTTCCTGGTGACAGCCACGTGGGGTAGACCGACAGCTGGAGCAGCTCTGCCATGCAGCCTGACAGGGCTGTGCTTGTCTGCACTGTTGAGCTTCCTGTCTGTGAGGAGACAAAATAGACTGACAGCTGACAGGAAGGACAGCGGTGCTAGCTCTGTGGTTCTCTAGCTGGTATTGTTACAGCGAGGCTGGAAATGAGAGTGCAAACAGATAAATCAGTTTGCCTTCAGTATCTACAGCATGGAAGAAGTACTCCATAGAGTATCCTGATTTAATACAAAATTTTAATGCGGAATTATGATTAGCAAAAAGGCCATTTTGAACTTTAGAAATAAAAGTTAGAAATATACAATGAAACATGTCACAACTTAAATTCTATGAATGCGCTTTTATTTTCCCCGATGCCTTTCAGCCCCCAACGTCTCAGCAGTCATGCCTTCTTCATGGAGAAGCAGCAGTGGGGATTCTAGAGCCTCCTGGGCTCCAATAGATTGCCCAGCTCCACCCACCACCCCCGCAGCTTAAATTTTTCAAGAGCCAGCATAATGGTTGACATGAAAAGAATGAAGGACTGCAGTTGCTGCATTGAGTACTTCCTAAAAAGTAAGAAATGGTGATGGTATTATTTCCATGTATGAATACATATATTTGGGCAAATTGGCTGTCAGTACTCAAGCCCTGGTAGAATTCTACCCTGTGGTTTAATAATAAAATGACCTGATGAAATTACTCTTCCCCCCGTCCCCACACCAAACCTTTGAAATCCAGACCAAGATTGGAACTGTGAAGACTTCACCTAAAGCTTCTCCCAGCTCAGTCACACAGAAGTTACAGAGTGCCGCAGTCGAGCTTGCTGATGCAAGCTGCCCCCTAGCAGACAGCAGCGTCTGACCTCACTGCTGATGTAGACAGACATGTGGCAAGGGCTGGCTTACATGGCAACTCAACTTTCTTACATTACCCTCCTGTGTAGGTTTTGCTTCGATGGTTCTGCACATTCACCGAGTCTCATCTTGGTGTGAGTTACCCAAGGTTTGCAAACTGCATTTATCATTCTCTTCCGCACTTTGCCACAGGCACAGACAGAGTTGAGTGCAAATAAGCAGAAGTCTACTTGGAGCACAACACTTGTTCTAATTCAGGGGTTTTTCCTCAATTTTTCTGCTGTGTTCAGCATATTATTTTTTAAAGCTTAAAGTGAGAGCTAAATAAGTGTTATACTTATTATGAGATATGATAGGATGTTGATTATGAAAGGATCACTGAGGAAGTTTCCATCCATCAGTATATTGTTCTGACCTTAACTACAGACACCCCCTAGTGGGATTAATGCATTAATGTAGGAAAGCCCTACAGTGGGAGATCATGGGCAAGTGAGTGCCAGAAAACAGGGACTACACTGGTCCTGGGTACCACCGGGTCTATGTCCAGCTCAGAATATATATACAGGAAATATGCCTTCCATCCCTATTAACTAGTTTAGAGTAGGCACTTAAATATTTGTTGAGTGTGGTTTTGCAAGAGGAGGCCGTGTGTGCAGAGCCTCACTGGCGTAAGCTGGGATTGCCCCAGATTTGTTCCCCCGAACAGTGATAGCCACACTGCATGTGCTCAGGCCAGGCCTGAGAACACCAGGTAGATTTTGATGTTCTATGAGCTCAAACAACATAAACAATGTGGTGAAAACAAGATGCATCCGACATGGCCAGTAGCCCATTAGCCATTCTGTATTTTAGGGATTTTTGCGGTCACGGTAGCTACCAGCTCCTTACATCCAGCAAATGGATGTCTCCATCCACTGCCAGCGTGTCGATACTGCTTAGCTCCTTAAGTCTGTGTTTGTACTCCAGGCTGTGCACACCGTTAATCGCAACCTTGAATTCTCGGAGGTCACAGTAAATTATCATCTGAAAAGAGAAGAGACCATACCTTCAGTGGCTGCCCTTCATTTTAAAGTTTGTTTCTTCTATATTAACAGAGGGTCGGAAGGGAAGCCATTTGGCTTGTTTTGAGCTTGGAGATGTTTTCCCAGCCTTGTACCATTGATTCCCTTCTGAGTGGTTTCAAAGGCAATCCAAATCCCCAATGTGTCATGTGGCATCTGCTTCAGCACCGTGTCTCACCAGGTCCTCAGGAGTCCTCCCCCATTCTGCTCCTGGCTCTTAGAAGCTGGGAAGCGTCTCTCGTGATATTTGGGAATTAAGAGTAAGGTGCTGATTGCTGCCTTGCACCCCCTTCTCTGAGAAGCTGAACCTTGGAACCTCAATGCTAGGGTCTTGGCCATGTCAACTGATGAGGTTCCAACAGCTTGGGACACTTGGTAAGGAGAGCAGTTACTCAGAAATCCTAACTTTGTCCTTGCTCAGAACTTACTGGCCTCTACTTGTTTCCAAAAAGCTTGTCAGAATCAAGACCCCAGGCTCTGCAGTTACTGGCATCCTGGCAGACGCATCACCATTGCCCACCCTTCTGAGCACTTTCCTAACAGTAACCCTAGCATCCAGAGCCAGTATCCTATAACACCGCCTAGACACCTAAGCCTGCATTTTGCTGCCAGTAGGGCCACTGACTGTACCAAGTGACCACTCACTGAAAAGGCCATTTTGGTGACCCTGCACTGTGCTCCTTGCCACAGTGAAGACTTCAGAAGATGGCACAGCCTGGGTTGGGCCTGCCCCATTCCCAGAGATCAGTCTAGAGCATCAAACTTGAAAATGCAAAGAACTCATTAAGGTTCTATTCTTTAGACAGTAGCAATGGAAAAAGCTACCACCGGAAGTCAGAATACGGTGGAACTGAGCACATAACTGACTTAAAACCAAAAATTCCACAGGGAATTGGGGAACTATCTATTACTGAGATTCTCCCCAAGAATGGGGGAAATCTCAAAATCATAATACACAGGAAAAAGAGAGTGGAAATGCAGGGCAAGAAGCCAGATACAATCCTAGCAAGTTCCCTTGGGTGTCAAATAAGTGCAAACGCAACAAGTGGAAACACTGCAGCTAGACAAAAACAGGAAGGCACGTGACCCGCAGAGTGCAACTGCCTAGAAGAGAAAGAAGTCCTCCGCCTCCCAGAGCAGCTGGGAAAAGTGTTCTGGCTCTGATTCTGACTGCTCTGGACTTCTCCTAATAACATCCAGGAGAGTGAAGCTGATGCTTTGTGAGCTCCACTTGACACAGTGACGGATGTCTTGACACAGCCAGGTCACATAAGCGATTGTGTATTGAACAATATTCCAGTGCAGTGCAATACTGAATGAGATTGTAGGGCAGAGCTAGGGGTGGAGGCTTAGTGACTCGTGCTTGCCTGTGAGGCCCAGTGGGGCTGGAGAGATGGCTCTGTGGATAAGAGAACTTGCTGTTCAAGCAAGTGTGAGGACCTGAGTTTGGATCCTGCCACCCAAGTAAAAAGCTGGGCCACCTATGGCAGGTGAGGGTGTGCTTACAGGATGGCTGGGGCTTGCTGGCTGCCAACTTAGCTCCAGGTTCAGTGAGAGCCACTGCCTCAAAGAATAAAGCACTGAAGGGCAGAGTAGGCCTGGTACACACAAATCTCTCTCTCACACACACACAGGGTCAGGGTAAGTGAATTTGAAGTGCAAGGTCCTGTGTAATCGAAAGGAACGGCATAGTGGGAAGATCTGCAAGAACCTCGGGAAAGCACACTGAAAAGTCCGAGGTTTGACACGAAGAGCCTGCTACTGTGGGAGGCCAGCAGCACGGGGTAACCATTGACGGAGCACGAGCACTCTCGAGGGAAGCGAGTCCACGTGCTGCGGAGTACAGATTTGCAGTGCGCCCACCTGGCTCCCTGTGTCCACAGAAAAATGTCTGGAATGGGCGCCATCTAATTTTTTTAGGTTTATGTTAGTTTTCATTATTCGTATGTGGGGTATGTGCACGTGAGTGCAGGTGCCCACCGTGGCTGGGGGTACTAGATCCCGGAGAGCTGAGTCACAGGTAACTGTGAACCACCCAGTGCGGGTGCTGACTGGAAACAATCAGGTCTCTACAAGAGCAGCACACGCCTAACACTGAGCCATCTCCAGCCCCTGCTTCATCTACTCTTAATAGCATAGCATTATCAAATTGAGTCAAATTGAAGGTAAATATTTTAATTTTCATTTTTCTGTTTTTCAGCATTATTTGACTTTTGTTACCTTTTTATTTCAGTGTCCTCAATTGGCACCAAGCTAGACTACTGTTTTCCTCTCAGCCACAGGACCAGCTTCCTTCTAGAGGTACCCCTGTCTCCCTCCTGTGTACCCTAGGTCACCCCATATACCCTGGCCCCTGCCAACCACAAACCCTGAGCCACACCTCCCACTTCTAGTGACTTCTTCAAAGTGTCCTAAACCTGGCCTTCCAGATCTTGCTCAGTCTTCTGGATTAACAGTCAATACCCACACCTTCAAGGAACCTTGAAGTCCCTATCTGCCGACCCTCCAAGCACTGGGTGCTTCCTTATCCTGTAACTTGGATTTCTGTGACTGTTAAATCACAACAATGCTTGGCATTCATACTTTAACCACCAGCTGGATGAGTCCCTGGGAACCCCAATAGTTTAGGCATGTGAGTTAAAAATCCTGAGAGACCATGAGAGGCCATCACCTAAGCCAGTGAGAGAAAGCCGAGCCAGCCAGCTAGCATCTACATCCCAAGGAACCAGCACTCTACAATCAGAAAACAGCCCAGAAAGGTGGCTGTGGGAAAAGCCATGGATTAACATAATAATACTGGGGCCTAGAAACTGCAAGGCCTCTAGGTCCAAGGGTCTTGTGAACTAGTCCTTAGCCACCCACCAACAGGGACAGCTCCTAAAAAGAAATACTGCCAGCATCTGGAACTGTGGAGGCCATGGGCAGTGCAAACAGACACTGTTAGGGTTCCCACTTCCAAGTGCAGATGTGGGGCTGGGAGATGATTCAGTAGGTAAAGTGCCTTACACAGGACCTGAGTTAAACTCTGGGTGTGGTGGCAGGGACCTTATTCCCAGTGCTGGGGTGCAGAGATGTAGAGCCTAAGGCTTGTTGACTAATCTAGCCAATTGGTGAGCTCCAGGCTCAGTAAGAGATGTGTGTCAAAAAATAGGGAGAGCTACAGAAAGACACCTAACATCAACTGCACACACACACAAGCACACACACACAAGCACGCACACACATACGCACGCACACCCTCATGCTAAAGAGTAACTCGTGCCAATGAGTACATCTGTAGTTCCAGTCCTGAGACAAAGTTGTTGTCAGAATTCCTTGGGGTGACAGATACTGTCACTATGACAAATGGCAAGTATTCTGGGATGTCAATTATACCGGCCCTGCTGTTCACACCAACAGCCCGTGTTCAAACACAGCCTCCACAGTCAGTGAACAACAGCATAAATCCCTACCTAGAGGTCGGGTTTGATTTAAATAAAAGTTATTTTACTGTGTTCTCAGGATTCCTTTTTCCTATCCCATTTCAAAACAAAACAAAACAGAAGCCATAATCTTACCTCAAAGTACATTCCAGGACTAAATGGGAAGCAGGTAATATTTCTCTCTTCTTCTCCCCAGGCATCCTGAAGAAAGGAATTTCTTACAAATGCTTTCACATTCAGGCGTGGGTTCAAGTGCAGAGCGATATCCCTAGATTTTCCTACCACTAGGTCGACGTTAAAGCTGTAAGAGAAAGAAAAAAATCTTAGACTTGAACCACAGTACTAACTACAAATCATGCAAGGGAGTGTGGGGGAGGGGCTTCCCACTCCAAATTTGCATGCCACTGACTCATTTGCAATCAATGTGAGATTAGAATCGGTGCTGAAGCTGAGGTCTGGCCTAGCAGCAGCTAGGGGTTCAGAACAAGTGAACCCCATGAGTACTCAGCTCCTCAAGGCAGGCACTTGCCAATCAGTTCCACATGTTCCCCTTTTGAAAGGATGCTACTTTAGGAAACAGATTCCTTTTAAAAGCGCTCAAGAACATGAACATCTTGGAAAAAGAAGTGTAGCACTAATTCTAATTGTTCTTAATAAAAACCTGGAGTCAGATATTAGGGGGTGAAAGTTGAGTGATCAGAGAAGCAGAGTGGCCAGCCACTAGAGACCTTTTACCTCTACCCGTGCTCAGACTAAGAGGGTGATCCTGAACTCAGACTGCCTGCTTCAGAATGCATCTCCAGACTACGCAGAACTTGTCTCCTCCTGCCTTATACTCCTCTCTCTGCCCAGTCATATCACTTCCTGTGTCCACCTCCGTAGTGCTGGGATTAAAGGTGTGAGCCACCACAACCTGGCTTCTAGTGGCTTAGTTCTGCACTCTGATCTTCAGGCAAGCTTTATTTGTTAAAACAAAATATCACTACAGGGGAGTGTGTGTGTGTGTGTGTGTGTGTGTGTGTGTGATACTTGGGGGCAGGTGTGCACACAGAAGCCAGAGGTTGACACTGGGTGTCTTCCAGTATTGCTTTCTAACTCACTGATTTTTAAAGATTTGTTTTACTATTTTTTAATTGTGCACACGTGCATAGCTATGTGCAGGTAAGTGCAGGTGCCTGTGGAGACCAGAGGGGGCACCAGATCCCCTGAGCAGGAGTTAGTGGAGGTTGTGAGCCGCTTGACATTGGTGCTGGAAAGTGACCTCTGCAAAAGCAGCACGCTTTAATCACAGCCATCTCTCTAGTCCTTCTACCTTAATTTTTTGAGGCAGGGTTTCTCTTGAGGGTTATAGGTGCATGCTAGTACACTCAGCTTTTTCACAGGGGTGCTAGTAACCCACACTTTACCTCTGAGCCATCTCCCTAGCCCCACCCCTGAAATCCTTTTTTTGGAGACACTCATGTGTATTCTCCTGGCTGCCCTCTGCCTCCACATGCTGGGATTAGGCCTGCACTACCATGCCCGGCCCAGAAAAAAGATTCTTAAAGCAGCATGTTCTGCAGCACAGAAGGGGAACCTCAGTCTGTCAGACTGTTGAAACAATGGACTCCAGGAAATGGGGATTTCCCAGGAGTCTCCTGCTAGGAGAAGGAAATAGCACCAATCAAAGTGGGAATTCACTGCCTGGAAAAACATTTGCACCTTATAAGGCCACCTGAAGCCCAGACAAGAATGGGCCATGGTGCTGGAACCACACCTTGACCGGGACCTTGACCTCTGATTCACTTTAATCTTGCTGCAGGAGCCTGCAAATGCATATCAGGGGTCCCTGGAACTCTACCTCACTTCCCCATGTGGCCACACTGAGTCCTTTACTTTCCATTATTAATCTGGCTGTTTTCATTGGCTCCTTGAAGGTGAAGAGCTGAACTTGGCTTCTTAGGGTATGAACTGTGACCCCCCCAAGTCTGGTACACTGAGGCTATCCTGGGCAAGAAGAGCCTCATGGGCAAAAATGTCACCTGCCTGGCCAAAAGAGCTCAGTCCTGACTGCTGATAGCTCCTTAGCGGGACCTTGCACTGTGTCCCTCCTTTCAGGAAAGCGCAGCAGCTCCTCCCACAGACCCAAGTCCTGAGGCAGCAATACTGACCCTTTGGCATTTGCATTCACTTCTCCTTTAATGACAACGGTTCGTCCAGGACCCATGGAGGTGTTTAACCTTGCTTCAAATGGCAGGCTCTGAAAAGGGGCCACAGAAAGAGGCATCTTCAGACAAGGACCTTGTGGGGAAATTGCCAACAGTGTGAAAGCAGGGGAATCTGTGGCCCCCGGAGGGGGCGAACCTTGGCTTTTATCTCAGCTGGGTGCCATGCAAATCGGAGCAGGGTCGGCACCAAGGGTGGCACCTGAAACCTGTGTGAGACCCGACTGCCTGCCCAAGTATCATGGCCTACAGTCATTCTGTCTTATGCAGCCCACAGGAGTGGTCCAGATAACACGCCTGAGGCTGTATCTGTCCAGGGAAAGTACAATGCTAGGGGCTGCCTTGGACTTCGCTGGGAGTGGAGGTTATATGTACCAGTTAATTAGAACTTAATTTCTATACAGACTTCAACTGTCTGTCTCTTCAAACCCTAGACAAACAGCTGGGAGGGAGGATTTTAGCGTGAGTGACAGCTGAGTCTATGCTCTTGGTGGAGACAGTCGCGTATGATTTTAGAAATGTCTCCTCTGTTACCAGGTCACAGGAACTGTCCTGCAATACAGTGCGGTGAGAATGCAGCTGCCTCCAGGGTTCAGCTGCTCCTGCTCTGGGTCTGTTATAAAGTGTCCACATGGAACCACTAAGCAAAAGTACTCACCAGCTGTGTCTTGCCAGACTTCCGGACCTGGTAGAAGAGAAAGAAGAGTGAGAACAGCCTCCTGGGCAGACAGGTGTGCAGTGAGCAGCCTGCTGTGCTTCAAGGTTCAGCTGCCTTGGGGTGACACAGGCACTGAGTTTCATGACGGGCACCACAGAGCTTATGAAAAGTCACGTGCCCTGGAGCCAAGTCCAGCATCCTTCTTTATGTGAATATGTTACCGTCCATAAGTTCATGGTTGTTCAAGGTTCACAAGTGAACTCCAACATATCTTACCTATCCTTCCCAAGAACCCTCCAAATTCTGACACGCTGTTCCACCTGTAAGCACTGATGTGCAGGGGTAAGGCCTTGCTCTCTTCAGAACAGCAAAGTGTCAATTTTAAAACTGCTCTTGCTGCCACAGGGGGAAGAGAGTTCATCCGCCCCTCTGTGTTTGGTATTTACAAGTGCTTCATTCCGATACTTCTTAAGAAGCAGGGTGACAGAGTGCTTTTTACATGACCAACGGTGGCCATTTAAACTGGTAAGTTACATGTCAACCAAAAACACAGTGCTCAAGACCATAAAACAGTACGCCCCTAAAACAGTGCACCCCTTGGTTCTTAAATGACTGCTTCCTGGCCTCACATTAAAAGCTTAATTTGGGAAGCTGGGAAGACAGCTCAGTTGGTAAGGTGCTTGCTATGCACCCATTTAAGAGCCCGGCATGAGAGTTGCGCATTCGTAACGCCAGCACTGGAGAGGCAGAGAAAGGAGGATCCCCAGGGTGAGCTGACCAGCCAGCCGAGCCAGTAGGGGAGTCCCAGGCTCAGTGGGAGACCCTGTCTCAAAAAATAAGGTGGAAGAGTTCAGGAAATGGTCCAGAGGCTAAGGCAATTTCAGGACAAGCATGAGGACTGGAGTTCAAATCTTCAGTAACCATGTAAATACTGGGCCAATGGAGAGGCCAGTCTGCAATCCTAGCACAAGACAGGATCTCTAGAGCAACCTGGCTACTTAGCCTAGCTCAACTGGCAAGCCCTGGATTCAACAAGGAGACTCTGCCTCAAAAGACTGAGAGCAATCAAGGAAGACATCCAATATCTCTATCTGGCTTTCACACACATGTCAATACACATGTCAACATGCATATACATGCACATACTGCACACATATAAATAAAAGATGTAGAACAATTGATAAATGACATCCAGAGTTGACCTCTGGCCTCCACATACATGCACACACTCATGTACACATGCACCTGCACACACACGAGTGAACAGAGAAAATTCCATACTTAAAAAAAAAAAAGCGCCTTCCTTCCACAGATGGTAACTAAGAACATTTTTAAACTGCTGGTTCATAGAGAGAACATTTACATTTTCTCTACTTATCTGTGTCAGTCCCAGAGATGTTTCCATATTCTGTAAACCCTGCAAAAAAACCATAGATCAGCTTAACATGCACCAGAATCTTTTAAATAATATCAAACATAAGCAAAAGAATATCAGGGATACAGAACATGGAAAATGACTGAGGATTATGATTTAAAAAATGCAACTGAACACTGGGGGGTCCGCCCCAAACTGGCGAGTGTGAGAACAAGATCTGATGTTAATGGGATCATGAGCACATGAGCAGCTGGGCACAGCTGCTGAGAGCACTGACTGCTCACATCCTTGGGAACAAGCTGTCAGTGTCCACGAAACAAATTCCGACACTTAGAAAACTGTCTTACAGAAAGGTTTATTCGCTCCCATGGACAGGAGACACACACTGACCAGATAAAAAGGTATTCATTCACTTTGCAGGCTCACTCTAGATGTGAGGTCCCACAAACAGCAAAAGCCTGGTTAGTGAGCAGGACCCAACTAGTCTGAAATATTTATACTCCTTTTATCTAAATGGAAGACGTAAATTAAAGAAAACTCCTACTATTCGGCCACAGAGACCCCCAGGTATGTGAGGAGGGCACCTACCGAGCTGAAGCTGAAACCGATGGAATGGATATTCACTTTGCCATAGATGCCCAGCGTGTCTATCTTCTCTGGGCCGATCCTGTGGGCATACAGCAGAGTGTGCTTCCCATTCACAGCCACCTGGGTGGGCACAGAAGACAGTGGCCTCAGAGCCACTTACAGGGAGTGGAGCTGTGGACAACACCTGCCCCAGGTTTCATCTCCAACACCACAAAAATAAGTGAATGACTGAGTGAGTAAAATGCCTTCTTGGGTTTATTTTCCCACAGCTCACACTGTGGCTAGCAGGGATCCTGAACTCTGAGTCTTGTGTAATTAAGCGTCTGGGTCACCTCTCCAGGCAGATACATACATTTGGAAACATGTGCTCCACATATGTCTGTCTGTGTGTGCCCAAGAGATAGCTATGCTCAGGGCCCCAAGGGTCACACATGATGTCTGAAAGCCTGGGAGGCAGGTTAGCTCTGCCTGATTGCTGCCCCACCCTCTCTAAGGGCCACACTCTGCCAGAGCCCACCTATATGGGAGGCACAGGTATGCGCTGACTTCACTAAATGAAAGTCCACACCAGCTGGGAGCTGGGCGGTGGTGGCACACACCTTTAATCCTGGCACTCAGGAGGCAGAGGCAGGCGGATCTCTGTGAGTTCGAGGCCAGCCTGGTCTACAGAGCTAGTTCCAGTACAGGCTCCAAATGTACAGAGAAACCCTGTCTCAAAAAACCAAAAGGGGGAAAAAAAAAAAAGCACTTCTCTGAGATTTCTTATCTCTAAGTTGTAGAAAGTGGAAACCTCACTCAGTGGTCGATTAAGTGCCTTCTGGGAGTCCTCCACACAATGCCTCCAAATGCCAGGCGGTGTGTGAGTCCAGGAGGGAGACATAAGCAGCCCACAGCAGGGTCCCCAGCAGGGCTCTCAAGGAGCTTTAAAATCCCACTTATAACAAGCCCAGGGCAATGTGTTGGGTAGGGCTCTACTGCCTGAGACTGGGGGGGGGAGGGGACACAAAACCGAGGAGTGCTGGGGGCCCCAGAGAGCAATGTCCCCCAAAGACCTAGACTGAGATGTGGGCACGCTCCTGGAGCTGGAGGCCGTCTGGTTTACAAGCCCTCTAGATGGGTCTGAGGGCTGGCACTCATAGAGCCTCTGGAGACAAACTGCAGCCAGGAAGCCAGTGGCTGTGTTCACAAGGCCCCCAGGGCCCTACAGCAATATCTGCCTGTGAGACTGGACCTGCCCCTCTGGGGTGCACCCTGGTCACCAACAGTCTGTTCTCGCTGACTTTCCCACAGTTTGGGGGGGGGGGTTATAATCCACTCTCCTAATGATGCCACGATGCTGTGCCAATCCAGAACTTTCCTCCAGTAGCCTCAGAGACGCCCCGAGCTCGCTCACTCACACACTCCCCTTCTCTCCCAGAACCTACCTGGAATTTGTTCTTTAGTACCATGATCACGATTTCAAAGGATTTCTCTTTTCTGAAGGGCATGTCGTAGGTGATCTCCTCGCAGCCCCATTTCTCGTTTGTCAGCGTATTACAGACAATGCAGTTGGACCTTTTGAAGCGAGGGTTAAAGTGGAAGGCCACGTCAGCCCTCGGCTTCAGGCTGTTGCCGAGCTGCAAGTCCACCTGGAATCTGGGCAAAGGCAGAGCAGAACCACATGAGTCTATAAGATGAGCCATGGGGAAAGAGTAAATAACTCCCCCCACCACACACACACCCCTTCCTCATCCACAGCAGCTACAGGGCAGCCTGCCCATCCTCCGTTCCTCCTTCCCTAGTAACAGAGCCCACAGTCTGAGCTGAGCTGTATGGACCCAGAATAACAACTTTCCTTTCCTGACTGCCCTGGATCCTGGCCTGTCTGTGTGGGCACAGTCTGCTGACCAACAGAAGGCAAATTCCAGGAGACTCCTCATCTGGAGTCTGCACAGACTGGCAGCACCCAGTCTTCATTCGCCCCTGCTCCACGCCCCCACCCCTGCTCCACGCCCCCACCCCTGCTCCACATACACCCTCCAGTCTTTCAAAGCATGAAAGTGAGGGTGCATTTTTTTTTAGCTGAGGATCCCCATTAAGAGGCCTGCCCCCAGGGGTACTCAAGTCACAAGCTGATGGGTAGAACTAACTGCAAAGCACAGGGGTCTCTGTGAGGTAATTCCCACACATTAAATCAGTGACGTCAGCCACTCAGAGCTCAACTCTGACTGACATGGCCTGCGATGGTTACTCTTCCTTGTCTACCTCACTGCATTTTGGGTCACCTAGGAGACACACACCCCTTGGTGTGTCTGTGAGGGCATTTTCCTGAGAGGTGTGACTGAGGGAAGACCCATCCTGAACGTAGACAGCAGCACCCACAGACTAGAGTTCCTGACTGCATACAAAAGAAAAAAGGGGACAGTGAGCTGAGCCCCAGCCACTCATCTCTCTCGCCTTCCTGACTAGATGTGATGAAGTGCCGCAGATCCTCCACCAGAGTAGAACCGCCCTTATCCCCATCGGATAGACCGGATCCTCAAATCACAAGCTAAAAAGAGCCTTTCTTCCTTTTCTTGCTTTTCTCAGTAATAAAAAAAAGGAACCACACATCCTGAGTTTATACCCAAAGCAGACACTCAGCAAAACCACCAAGACTTCCTGTTATCCAACAACCTCTCCCCCTTTCTATCAGTGTATCTGTTTATATTGAAACCAGACTTACAGCAATGATATAAAAAATTCCAGTAACCAGTTAGGCATGGTGGCGCACGCCTTTAATCCCAGCAGGCAGGAGGCAGAGGCAGGCGGATCTTTGTGAGTCTGAGGGCAGCCTAGTCTTCAGGACAGCCAGGGCTGTGTAGAGACCATGTCTCAAAACAAAACACTCCAGTCGACTTTGTCTTTACCCCACTACTCACCCTCCTCACACCTCAGAGCTGCTAGGGGGACGTCCACAGGACACAGCCATCTTACCTGTCCACATCATTAGGAATATGCCCGCGGATTACAATCAAAGAGCCAGGCTTCAGCTGCTCAGAAATGGTGCCAACATAGGGGACTGTCTAAGGGAAAGAAATTTTACAAATGTATTTTCATAAACAAATTCAGTTACAAGGCAATTGTAGCCAAACTCTGTGACTGATGGAAGCTGGTGGCAGATGGCCTTGAGCTCCCGACTCCCTTGCCACCCAGCCTCCCACCAAGTCCTGACTCTAGGCAGTCACCACGCCCAGCTCACACTTAGGTCCTAAAGTCTGAACAGAGGTGATGAGTAACGTTCTAGAGCGGATTAAGAAATGAGTGTGAGGCACAAACACTGACCCCTGCCTGGCGCCTACACTTGGGTCTCCAAGAAGACCCGTATGGCCCTAAACAACAGGCCGACACCTGTAGCTTCCATCTAGGTGTCTGGAGCATTCCTGGGTGTGAGGCAGACAGTGCCTATGTGAGCACCACCAGATAAAAACCCCCAAGTCTTCAGCGACTCCCCCATAGACAACTCCACAGGGCTGTCACACTGTGGAGGACCTAAGAGGCCCGGGAGCATGTGCTGAGTCTGCCCCTGAGCCTCCAGGCCTCTAGCAGCAATGCCTTATCTCAAAACAAACCAATGAATGAACAAACAATGAAGGGATAGAGCTGCAGCTTAGTGGGAGAATATACCCAAATCACGAAGCAATAGGTTCTATCCTCCATATGATAGATGACAGACAGACAGACAGACAGACAGACAGAGATATGGGAAGGAAAGAAGGAATGAGCAAGCCAGTAAGCTAGCTCAGCAGGTAAAGGTGCCTGCTGCTGAATCTGACCACCTGAGTTCAACTTTGGAACCCAAATGGTAGGATAGAAGAATTTTCCAGAAGTCATCCCTGGACCTTCCTTCGTGTGAATGTTGTGGCGGCAAGGTATACGCATGCACACATACCAAGTACACAGTAAACAAAAAATGTAAAAAAGAAGCAAGAAGGGAAACCTATGCAGAAGAAGAAATCCATTTTCCTTTAAAAGTTATGCTTTTACGAAAGATCTGAGACATGCTACCCCCTCAGGGCCCTTAAATTCTCTGTCCCAAGCTTCTCTTTACCTCGGACTGTCATGGTTCCTCCCCCAGCCTGGGAACAAGAGCCCCATCTACTTTTCAGCCAGGGAAACGCCATGTATACTAACTGAACTGTGTTCATGGCTGGTCCCAATGAATAATTGTAACGTGAGTGTATTTTCAGTCATAGGCAAAAAAAAAAAAAAAAAAAAAAAAAAAGATTTGCTAAAAATCTATTACCGGGTTATAGATGATATTTTGCAGGTTGTTTAAGGACAACATCGTTCTTTTCCAACTTGTTATTGATATTGTTGATTGGAGTCTCTCTTCTTTATATAAGGTTTTACCCACGTGTCATTTAAAGATTATTGAAATTGAAAACTTGCCCTGTGTAAAAGCAAAATAGGAAAGCAAGCATGCATAATTTTTCTTCACATCAAATTTTAATATGCAAACTATATTACTTTAACGATAGTTATCAAATAACAGAATGTTAGTATAACCAAAAAAAATTTTTTTTTTTTTTGGAGACAGGGTTTCTCTGTTAGCCCTGACTGTCCTAGAACTCTCTCTGTAAACCAGGCTGGCCTCAAACTCACTGAGATCTGTAAGTCCGGTCTCTGACCTCCATCGTTAGAGGTCCCGCCCCTCCCTGTGGTCACGTTGGCGGCTTCCTGATTTTCTGGGGGGGGGGGCACCCGAGAGGGCAGGAATACCATTAAAACCTGGATATCCTTTAATTCAGCTTCTTGTGATATGGCTTGATTGGGATTTTTGGCGTCGGCAGAGAGCTCGCGTTAGGAAATATTCCTAACAAGATCCACCTGCCTCTGCCTCCCAAGCGCTAGGATTAAAGGCGTGTGCCACCACCCCCTTAATAATGTATTTATACATGAAATAATTTTAAATTATCAGTGTAGGAAGTATTTTAAAAAACACATACGCAGAAAATTACATGGAGTTTGCTATTAAAAATACTGAAATTGCAAGTGTGGTGGTACATGTCTGGAAACCCAGCGTCTTGGGAGGCTGAGGCAGGAAGACTACAAATTGGATGCTAGCCTAGGCAATATTTACCAAGACCCTGTGCGGTGATCTGGATAAGAATACCCCCCATAGGTTCATATACTTAGAACTATTAGAAAGGATTAGGAGGAGTGGCCTAGCTGGAGAAAGTGTGCCATGGGAGTGGGCTTTGAGGTTTCAGAAGCCTAACCAGGCCGCGTCTCTCCCTTCCTGCTGCCAGTAGATCCAGGGAGAACTTTCAGCTACTTCTCCAGCACCAAGTCCGCCCGCGTGCTGCACGACGGCAATGGACCTAACCCTCGAAACTACTAGCAAGCTCCCAGGAAACGCTTTCCTTCACGAGTGTTGCCGAACTCATGGTGTCTCTTCACAGCAATAGAACAATGACCAAGACATCCTGTCTCAAAACACTTCAAGTGCTGAGGGTGGAGCTGGGTAGAAAGCTTGCCTAGAGTGCATGAGGCCCTAGGTTCTATCCCAGTATTGGGAACCAAAAGCAATTAAAACCCAGGCTAGGAGATCAGTAGTCATTTACACTGTGCTTAGTGTGACTGAAGCCTTGGGTTCAATCCTCAACACCAACAGGTGAGGAACGGGTTTGGGGGGTGTGGTTCAGCTTATCTAATGTGCTCAAGGTCCTGGGTTCAGTCCCCAACACAAAAACAAACCCCTAAACTAAATGCCAAATACCACTCAAACAGTCCTGTGAAACTATGAGAATATTCATTTAACTTTTCCTGTTTGCAGAACGAGTAGGAATCCCATTGTAGGACTACCCTGTAGTTGGTTTTTACTTTACTCTTTTGGGGGTTTGGGGGTCCCACAACCCAGCTCCTAAGAAAAACACATGGAGGCTTATTATTTCTTATGAATGTCCGGCCTTCGCTTGGCTTGTTTTTTTTGTTTGTTTGTTTTTTTTTGTTGTTGTTGTTGTTGTTTTTTTTTTTTTTTGTCAGCTTTTCTTAAATTATCCTGTCTACCGTTTGCCTCCGGGTTTTTACCTTTCTCTATTTCTGTATATCCTTTCTTCCCTTCTTACTCAGTGGCTGGCTAGTTGGCTGTGTGGATGGCCCCTTCTTTTCTCGTTTCTTGATACTCTCTTCCTTCCCAATCCCACTTTTTCTCCTCCTATTTATTCTCTCTGCCTGACAGCCCCGCCTATCCTTTCTCCTGCCTTGCTATTGCCGTTCAGTACTTTATTAGACCAGTCAGGTGTTCTAGAGTAGCAGAGCTTCACCGAATTAAACAAATGCAACATAAAAAACTACAACACATCTTTGCATCATTAAAAAGAAATGTTCCACAGCATAAATATAACACACCTTAAAATAATATTCCACAACACTCCCCTGAGGATTAAACAGGTTTAAATAGTGGAAAACGGCTCGGTACGCGTTAGCTATTATTACTAGAAAAGATGGCTCTTCTTCAGCCAGCCAAATTAAGGAAGTCAGAGGTGGGGTGGTGAGGTCTAGCCACTCCTCAGTATACTAGATACAATGTTCTGTATCTGCTCCGCTTTTAAAGATAAAAGTGCCTACTCCCCTCTGTGCCGTCCCCAGTGCAAACATTTTATTACCTCTAGGACTGATGACTCAAACTAGAACCAAGCCAGAAACGAAACTAGAGTTTCCTGCAGTTTACTTCCTACAGTCTCTTAGTCTGTACTACAATAGGCACTCGCCAAATCTCTTAGTTTTTACTGGGAAAAAGGAAATCGATCGTTCTTGGTTACACCCTAAAAGACAAACCTAGACCCCTACCCAGTATTTCTCACTATCACTTCATTCAAAACCCTCGAACCTTTCGTTCATTTCCGTGCAGTTCAGGACGCAGGAACGGAGGAAAAAGGAGACAAGAATTGCCTTCACCACATCCATAATTGATATCTTGCCCAGAGAGAGATCCAGATGGCCTAGACTGGCATTAAATAACTAGTCCCCGAGAAGTCTCCAGGCAAGTCCCACCGTCCCAGTCAAAACAAGCCTTCGCCTAGATTTTAGGAGGAACCCCAGACCCAAGGAAATTGCGTTTTCTCTACATTCAACATTAGGATCGAATGACTCAGCGTCCTAAAGTGCGTGTCTGTGATCACGGAGTGTGGCACGGCTGTCAATCAACTGTCCTGGGGCCTGTCTTTCTTGGGGATCCAGGTGACGCTCGCCCTTTCCTCGGCTGGGGATGGAGACCACAGTCGGGGAGCAGCCGAGAAGAGAGACCTCACCCGCGGCGGTCAACGCCGTCCCGACCCTCCGGCCGGAGGACAAGCCTCAACCCATAACCACCTCCAGGAACCCAGTGTCCGGAGCCCAGTACCCAGAGACCAGTGTCCGGAGCCCAGATCGCGTGTCTGACGGGGACGGCGCGACGGCGTGTCCGCACTCGAACCACCCTTCGGATTCCTATCTGGGGACAGTGACATCCCGATGCCCCTGAGCCCGGCGTCGCCCGGACTCACCCCGGCACGGTGTTAGTAGGCGCTGTGCTCTGGCGTGGCCCCTGCAGGACACCGTCCGGGTTCCCCGCGCGACTCCAGGCAGTGGGCGGGGTTAGTCCGCGGCCGTTTCCGCAGGGGCGGGGCGTCCGAGGGCTGCGGACCTGGGCGAGGGGTTCTTCCTGCCACCCCTGCAGACCACTGGCTGGCTGCGGGAGTGGGGCGTCTAAGTTAGTTCAGGGCTGGGGTGTGACTTACTCGTGCTGGAGGCCCCCAGGTTGGTTTCCAGCCAGCTCTACACAAACTGGTCGGGGTGCGTGCCTGGGATCCCAGCCCTTGAGGAGTGGAGGCAGCTGGAGGATCTTAAATTCAAGGTCATTCCTGGAGACCGTGGTGGAGAACTTAGTGTTCTGGCTCACTCTGGGACAGACACTGTATCTCAAGGTCATAAAAAATGCATTTAAAGAGTAATTGTGGGCGGGTGTGGTTGGGGCCAGGGTCCACCAGATTTAGCTCCTTTGTAGCCTTGGGTCTGAGCCGAGCGCTGCTGTGAGCCTGTTGGATTTAGCAGCCGCTCCTTTTTACCGGTAACTCGCCTTAGGTGTGGAGGATATCTATTCAGTGTGGGCCCCAGCAGGAAATCTCCATCTGGGAGCAGTAGCCTGGACGTGCCAACTCTGTAACTCGCTAGTTATTCTGTGCTGGGGTTTGCTAAGTGAGACGTTTCCTTAGAGAACAGTTTAGAGTGTGGTGCTGGATTCTGAGTAGAGGACATGGTCAATGAAGGCTCAGCTGCACAGTGAGGGAACCACACTGCTGATAGTTTGGCCTGCTTGGGGGTATTTTGAGCGGCTGCAAGGTTTTGATGTGCTAACGGGCTCAAAGTTATGCTGACTGTTGCCGTGTTTGTGTTTGAAAGACGTGTTTGACATGGCCGTTCCTCCTCTCCTTGTGTTTTATTTTAATTTGAATTCATTACAAGCCTCTTAGAGGCAACCTTATGTTCTGAGTCATTGTTAACTTTTTTCCTCTTGTCCGTTTTCTAAATTGGATTCACTCCTCAGGATTCTACTTGAGTAGCTGGATTGAACCCCTGATGCCTTAGCATTGTAGTATTGTTAGATGTGGTGGACTCCTAACCTACTTTCTCTGAGTTTTGAGTTGGGAAAAGGAATTTGCTGTTCACTTTCCCAATACCTTGTGTAAACCCTCTAAAGAAATAGGTCCCTAACAATTGGATTGACTACCAATTATTGGTCATTATTGGTTAAGTGAAGAGCAATTGAGTACCCAGGGTTTTTTTGTTTGTTTGTTTGTTTGTTTGTTTGTTTTTCGAGACAGGGTTTCTCTGTAGCTTTGGTGCCCGTCCCGGAACTAGCTCTGTAGACCAGGCTGGCCTCGAACTCCCAGAGATCCGCCTGCCTCTGCCTCCTGAGTGCTGGGATTAAAGGCGTGCGCCACCACCGCCCGGCTCGAGTACCCAGTTTTGCCCAACTCTTCCACTTCTTTGCAAGGCTAAAATGAGTTAAGATAAATTTATCTCAGTGCTGGATGCATTCCAAATTGTAGAAAGAGCTTGTGCAAAGTCCTGGGGCCCTGAAAAAATCATCAGCGTGCTGAGACTGGCAGGAGGTGAGATGAGGTCATGGGAATGAGGTCCCCTAGGAGAGCAGATAGGAGAAAACAGCTTTGGCCAGAACCCTAAGGAGAAAAATCCAGAGAGAGAGAAACCGAGAGCTGCTTTGGAGACCTGCTGGGCATGGCTACAGGTACCAAAAGAGAGAGCAGCCAGTGTGCTGAATTCTCTGAGGGCTCAAATAACAAACAGGATCGATGGGCAAAGCAGCAGAGGTCACTAGGAACTGACTTTGATGTAGGAAAGAAATGAGAGGTTAAGAAATGGTAGAAATAGTAGCCTTAAACTTAAAAAAAAAAAAACCGTTTTCTGGGAAGGACTGAGAAACAGCACTATAGCAAGGGAATGGAAGAGTAATAAGTGGGTTTTCATTGGGGCTGGAGAGACAGATGCCTCAGAAGTTTAGAATGTACATGGTGCTTGCAGAAGACCTGAATCCAACTGCAGTTCACAATCACTTGCAGCTCTAGGTCCAGAGGATAATACACACACACACACCTACACACACCTACAAATCTTATTTTTAAAAAAAAAAAAAAAAAAAAAAGATTTTCATTTTTGAGATGCTGTGGTCCTAGCTAGCTTTGAACTCTTCAATCCCCCTGCTTCATTTTCCCAAGTACTAAGATTATGTGTGCCTTCTGCTTTGGTTTTTTTTTTTAACTTTATTTTAAGAGACAATAGAACAGTGGGGGCTTTTAGGCTTTGCAACCAGAAGCCACCATGAGAACTGTTTCCACTGTGACTTCTTGTGGTTCAATGAAGAAAGGGGTTTTCACAAAACTCACTCTGGGATTGATCTGTCCATTTAAAAAAATTCTATTCATGTACACACGTGCTGCACAAACATATGTAGGCAGACATATAAAATAAAATCTTTCTAAAATTACAAATGCAGCCAGGCAGTCGTGGCACACACCTTTAATCCTAACACTCATGAGGCAGAGGCAGGCAGATCTCTGAGTCTGAGGCCCCCGTGGTCTACAGAGCGAGTTCCAGGACATCCAGGGATACACAGAGAAACCCTATCACAAAAAATAAACAAAAAACAAAACCCCAAAAGGTTAAAAATGCCGTTACTAATCCACTATTGACAAGACCCCACTCGCGACTAGTGAGTTGTAGCCAGAAGTCCGGAAACACTTAATGAAGATGAAAGTCTGCTCATATCAGTGTGAGAGCCAGTTTGTGCTTTCCACTCGTGCTGACTCCTGGACAAGGACAAGGCTCTGCTAAGAAAACAAGAACTCCCTCTTGGAACTTTTCTCTCTAGAAAGTCAGATGTGAAACGTTTACCATCACGTGACTGACGACCAGATGCCAGGAGAGTCCAGGGGTTAACCCTGGGTGCTGTTCCTCCAGAGTCAGCCACCCTGCTTTTTGAGACAGGGTGTCTCAGTGGGACTTGGAGCTTTTGGATTTGGCTAGACTGGCTGACCTGCAAGCCCCAGAGATCCTCGTGTCTCTGCCAGTGCTGGGGTTACAGGCCCACACCACCACACCTGGCTTTTATGTGGATATTAAGACCAAATGCAGGCTCTCAGGTGTGACAAGCGCTTTACTGACACCTGTCTTCCTGACCCAGAATCCTTTCGCTTTGACCTGGTGTCTCCCACGCTCGGGCAGCAGCACCCAGGAGAGCTGAACCTCTTCTCCCTCCAGCCAGGCCTCTTGCTCAGATTTACAAAGCTTACCTCTTCTGTTCTACAGCTTTCATGTCCCACGCCTTAGTGTTGCAGCTGAGAGAAGCAAGCTTCTAGAACTGGTTACCTCATAAAACCATAGAATCTTAGTGATGCGAGAGGTCTTATGAGAAGTGTGAATCGAAGCACCACGTCTTGAAGGAGGACATACGGTCCTATTTCTTAAAATATTTCCCCCTGGATATCTTCAGGACTGTAACATGCTAGCACTAGAGAAGTATTTGATATGGGAAAACGTATCTGAAATTGTATAAATCTAAAGACTGGACAATAAGATACTATAAAAGAATATAAAGATTTCTATTCTCTAGACAGTAGTATTTATACATGTATATAAAGGGAGATCCAAGATATGTGCCCACTAGAGATAGAATAGTACGAACAATGGACTGTTTCGGAGCGTAAAGCCGCTCAGAGTCAGGCTGTTGTTACACATACGTTCTTTTGTTCCTGCCAAGTCACCGAGATTCAGTACAAGGATTCCCTCAGCAACCCAGCCTTGGACCTTCTGGCTCAGCCAATCTACTTCTAGCTTGTGTTTATGCAGCTCGTTATAGTGATGAGTGAGGCACTGATAATAAATTCAGTGGTAGTTCTGAAGCAGATCAGAACTCAAGGTGACTCTTCAAACATAACAGTATTTTTTATGTTTATCTTTGTTGTGTGTGTGTATGTGTGGGTGCACGCACGCGCATGAGTGTACACCTGCTGTGGTGCACATGTAGAGAGGTCAGAGGAAAGTTTTTGTGGAGTCATTTCTCTCCTCCCACCTTTACTTGGTTCCATTGATCAAGCTCAGATTGTCAGGCTTACTCAGCAAGAACTTGCACCTGGTGAGCCATCTCACTGCCCTATTTAGTATAATTTCCTTCATCCCTCCCTCCTTCTCTTCCTCCCTCCCCCCCACTCATACACATATGTATGCACATGTGCTTATTCAGAGGCCAGAAGGAGTCATTGGGTGTTGGCTTTTTTGTTGTTGTTCCATTGCTAACGACATAAGTAGAGTCAGCTGAGGATTTGCCTCCATTACACCTACCCTTGACTTGCCTGTGGGGCATTCTCTTGACTACCGATTGATGAGGGAGGGTCCAGCCCCCTGTGGATGATGCTTTTCCTAGGCTGGTGGTCTTGGGTTGTGTAAGAAAGCAGGCTGAGAAGCCCTGGGTAGCAAGTCAGTAAGCAGTGCTCCTCTGTGCCTTCTGCTGCAGTCCCTGCCTTGGGTCCCTCATAGATTCTAAACCACAAGTCAGATCAACCCTGTCTTCCCCCAGGTTGACGTGGGTCCATGTTTTTTATCACCACGACAGTGTCTTCCTAAGGTGCCTTCTGCCTGTTCCTTTGAGGCTGGGTCTTCCCTGGAACCCAGGGCTTGTGTTTTCTCAGCTGGGCTGGAATTCAGCAAACCTCAGTGATTCCCCAGTCTCTGCCCGACTCATGAGTGCAGCAAGTGCTCCCAACCACTGAGCCATCTCTCCAGCCTCGAGTCCTCCTTATCTTTTATTGAAAACCCAAGTCAACTTTAACACACGGGGCAGAGGTGTGAGCAGACATCACACGGCTTAGACTCAGAAGCCACATCCACATGTCTGCCTATTGTAGGCTAGCCCCTAGAGCTGCACTCTGCCTGCCACAAGCTAGCCCCTAGAGCTGCTCCTGCTGTGGGTATTCCCTGCACTGACTGTGGACCT